TTGACGGACGTCCTTCCTAGCTAAAGGAGTTAATACGAAAATGATGGATGTTTGGTCTCTGTCTGTGAGCTCCCTCGAGATGCGGTGCGCTAGAGAAGCCAAAGCTTTACAGGAGGGGGATGTAGTGCGAGCGATATTGGTAGATGAGAGAAGAGAAAAGGGTAGAGCGCGCGATATGACGCTCCAGGAGAGGGAGAAGAGAGCAGCACAGTCATCTTTGTTAGCCTTGCTAGAGTAGCAAACAAACCCTCGCCAGCCGTCCAGCTTTGGCCTTCAATCGATGTCTATGGTCTTGTAGGGTCTGAGGCGGCCTGCCTGCCGAAGGATGTAGACACAGACTCCTGCCCTTTCTGAAAGGCTGGTTCACGCTACGACACCAGTTGCCTCAACGTGACTCGATATCATGCCATGACACGAACGCGCCTGCCGTACTGCCGGGACTCGACGTGGTCAGGACTGCGGCCCCTGGGGGGACGGCAACTCGAACTTCACCTTGACAACGTTCTACCAATCCAGCTCGTGGTTTGACGATGACGACTGGGAGATGCTGTGGAACGACGACGGTGTCTTGTACGGACAGGAGATGAACGCGCAGGCACCGTACAAGAGGGACTGGAATGACCACGAAGTGCTCCACAAGGTGTACCATACTTCTGCGTGGCCGTAGGGTAGTAGGGTAGTAGTGAGTCGGTCTTAACGTGAATGCCGTTGGGTAGGGTAAGCGTGTTGAAGATCTCCACGGGGTACCGCGTATTCCACAATGTTTTTGGTGGTAACTGATCTTTTCCGGCCAAGTTGCGCACGAATTCTCCGCGTGCTGCGTACCGCGTTTTATCCGCCATGCAGGAGTTTTTCCCACCGATTTGTCCACCGGGTGGTACTAGGCCCTTCCACTAATTGTGCCCTAGTACCATCAACTGCATGGAAAACATGAGTCAAGACGAGACTGTAAAAGCCTATGACGCCGCATCGGCACTCTAGGTCAGCTTTTGGCTTGCATTGACTTGCCAACAGAATGCCACAACAATGAAGGGTATCAGTTCATGGGAAAGAAATAACAAGACCANAATCCCCGGCATCGACTTCCACCACTCATCCTCAGCGTGCCCGTCTGCAGCATCTATCAGGACGATGATTGCCGTAGCCACTGAAAAGGGCAAGAAGCTCTCTCACTGGGATGTGAAGCATGCGTACATCCACGCTAAGCTAAAAGAAGAAATACCTCAAGTTCCCGGAAGGCTGTGGTAGCATGTCCGGAAAGGTGGTCAAGGTTGAGCGTCCCCGTATGGCCTAAAGCAGAGTGGCCGTGAGTGGGGGTTTGAAGCTGCCGATGCCCTCATCGAGAAAGGATACGAGCAGTGCAGGGTTGACCCGTTTGTCTTCCGGAAGGTGGTGGAAGGAGAGGTCGTAGGTCTCATCGTGATCTACGTTGATGACATCTTAGTGGCGGCAGACGAGGGAGCGCGAGAGGAGTTGTTCGCTTCCCTCAACAAGAAGTTTCCAGCGAAAAATCTGGGGGAGTGTACCTGGTACGACGGGCGTGCTATCGCCATGGATGTAGAAATTGTCAACACCAAGCTGTCCCAGACAGCATACATTGAGAGTATGCTGAAGCGGTTTGATGTGACCACGACCGCTTTCACCCCTGCTGCCACCGATGCCGACCTAGGGCCGAAGAGAGATGACGAGCCCGCGGTGGATAAACACTCTAGGTCAGCTTTTGGCTTGCATTGACTTGCCAACAGAATGCCACAACAATGAAGGGTATCAGTTCATGGGAAAGAAATAACAAGACCAAGTTGACAGGGAGACACACAAAACGCGCAAGTGCGCCTGACGATGGCGTACGCGCACTCTCCACCGGCACGGGTGACACGCGGACAACGCCACGGCGGCGAATCAGAGTGCCGGCTCGATTCTCTCACAGGGGGAAGAGCAGTGGAAGCACACCCCATCCTTGATGAATTGTGATCCTCGTGCAGCGGTGCTGTCCTTCTCCGCGTTGTATCTTCGAAATCTCCGGAAGCTCATCATTCTCTCTACACACCCATTTTGCTGAAACTTTGTGCACTTGTCGCAACCTCCGTGTGACGTTCGTTTTTTTATCATCCTTTTTGGCGTTGTATCTCCGAAACCTCCGACAACTCAACCTATTCTCGACACACACCCATTTTGCTGAAAATGTGTGGTATTCTCTTCCCTCCTTCCTTGTTGCGTTCATTATTTCCAGGAGGCCCCCGGCGCGGGAACTATTTTTGTGGACGTGCTTTGGGCGATGGTGGTGCTGGTGGGCTGTTCGATGTCTCTCGGGGGGTGCATGGTCGCGTACCGGCACTTCAAGGCGGGGGGCGGGGGCGCGCCCATGTACCTCCCTGTTCAGGCAGCGGTGAGTTTGGCTTTTCTATGTTTGTGTGAGTGTCTTTTCTTAGCTAAATAGTCTTCCCGACTGACCAATGAAACTGAAAAATGTCAGTCCTGTAGCGGCGTAAGACATTAATGACAGTTTCTCTCTTGGCGGATTGTATTTATTCAATGAACATCGACCGCGTGACATCTGAAACCGGCTGAGCAATGGACAGACGCCAGTCTCGGAGCGGGATTAAAACACGAATTATTTTTCAGTGTCGTGTGTGTTTCTGTTGTCTTCAGAAAAAAATGAATCATCTCTTGGCAGTGAGTTTATGTTTTGTGTGTGTTGTATGCAAATGCACATGTCTTTTTTTGCGTATTTTGTCACAAACCTAAGCAAATTCGGGTCTGTTTCCTTCTGTCTACGTATCGTTTGCTTGGACGTCTCTATGGGGTCACGTCGTTCTTCCTTTTTTCTGTCCCAACGGAACCAAGAACGTGCTGTATACTCTCCCAACGTTACCAAGTGCAGGACAGCCGCCAGCAGTACAATTGTCTTATGTCTGAACATGCTCTTGTCTTGTCGCCGTCCCCTTTGCGTGTTTATTGTTTTGTTTTTGTTTTCAGGAGGAGGTGGAGCTGTCGAGGCGTGCGGGGGGAGTCGAACAAACTCCCGATGTGGTTCGCATTGGGTAGAGTGATTTCGTCGCCTGGATCGGCATGAACATGATAGGGCAGGACTCGCGCAGTCCCAGCAGCAGGAGCAGGAGCAGAGGGGGGGTTAGTTGCATCTGTGTGACGAATCGTTTTTTTGAAACGAGAGTTGTTCTTGAGCCCAGGAGTTGCGACGAGAATTATGCGCACGTCGAGATAGGAGTCCAGTGACTGCTGGGGGGCAGGGAGGGGGGGACCCCCGCCCGGGGCGTGTAAGCGGTTCCCTTCGGAGACCTGGTGATTTGATTAGTTGTGTGATGGCTGTCTGAGAGAGAGAGAGAGTGGCTTCCAAGGGTGTGCTCTGAGAATGTTGCTGCTGATCAGTTGTTGGTTGGTCCGCAGCGTGGGATGCTTCATTGGCTTCGTCGCTTTGTGCCTTAGAAGCTGCTCGCAAGGTGTTGTTGTTGCTGCTGGTGTTATCGTCGCCTTTGAATACGGTCCACCTCCGGGGAACAATCGGTCTTCGTCAGAAGGTCGGACGTCCTCAAGTTGTTTACGCTGCCAACGATGGCTTGGTCTGTCTATCCCTCTGCCGCCGATGGTCGCCGTGGAAAATTCTTGGCCTCATGTTCCTCCCTGCGTGCTTCCTGTAGCTTATCTTGTATTTTGGTCTTCGGCGTGTCTCGTGTTCCAGACGGTTTGGTTGGCTGGTGAGTTCCTAGCGCACAGTCCCGACAGGGTTGATGCCCTACGACAGCACGTGTGGTTTTTTTGCCGGGAGCTCCGAACGTTTCCGACGTCTGTAGCCAGTTCGCTTGCTACCGTGTGCTGTCAGTGCTTCGGTGTGCCGCTTTGTGTGCTTCGGGGTTGACAATGAAGAAAAAGCCTTGCTGCACGTTGAAAATGAGCGGGAAAATTTCCAGCGAGCTATGTACGAATGTACGCCCCGCACTCCCAGGATAAGCGTGCTCGTCCCGGGATTTGTGTGCGCGCGTTCGAGTGCTGGAAGTCTTTTTTTTTAGCGCCGACCGCGCTAACCGTCTGACCAATGAAAATATGTCGGTCTCAGTACGACCGAAATACGGGAAAATGCTCTTAAAACGACATGGCGGGGTCCCCGCAAGGGGGCGCGCATGTCTTGCATGATCGTTGTGCCCACGCACGTCGCGTGGTCGGTAAGCGAAGAGAGGAGGTCACTTTGATGGACTAGGAACGAACAACGTGGCGAGCAACCTCACTGATGGCGCCAGACAACGACGAATTTCTTATGTTGTAGCTTAGCATGCCTTGCGCGTGGTGGTCAAATCGCGTCATTGAGACGAGTCGCTCGTCGTCGGCTGACTGTGAGTACGTCCAACGATCTTCTCAAAATAATCTCTTGTCTCACGGGAAGAGGTGGTCAATGTTCTGCCTCAGGATCTCTGAAATGTTGTTGCTTTCAACCTTGTACTGGAAGACCGGGGGACACTTTGGGGACACAAGTCTTCAAATGCCTGTTTCACCGCACCGTAGTCCCCAAGCTCTCCTGTGTGCAACGCATGTGAGAACCCTCCTCTTTCATTCTTTGCGGAGGTGGTACGCTGTGTGATGCCTCTCTGACACCAACTTTGAGCCGCACCTACAGTTAATTATGTCCCATGTATCTGCTCCGTGAGCGACGTTTTAGGTGCCGCCTCATCCTTGAAGCGTTTCTTTGGTATCTTGCTATAAGTAGTTTTTTTTTTTGTTTCTTAATACTTCCTCCGATTCTAAATATAAGGGTGGTTTGGACAAAAAGCGGTCTAGGCCTGTCCTCCATCGGCCGTTTTATTTTCAATTTAGATACACAAACTTTATTTCTATACTAATTTCAAGTAATTCCAAAGCGGTCTAACTCGGGCCTGCAGAACTCTTTTCCTGAACCGTTTTTTTTGTTGGTTCCACCGCACTGCTGCACAGCGCGCAGAACCGGGGTCTTTCTGAACACACACCAGCGAGGTGCAGCCCACAGCAGCAGACCGCGCCCGATCTCACCACAACTTTGTAGCTCCGGTCAAACACCTTCCCAACTGCTGTTGAGCCATGTCCGCTGCTGGGAGTGCTTCTCAAGGGACGAAACGCAAGAATTTCAACGTTTTGGAGAGAGAAGAGGTGCTTCGCCACCTTCTCGCCAACAGCGAAGACGGGGTACTGCGGCACGGCAGATTTCCGCCATTTTCCCGATCAGGGGATTTCACCGCACCAGCCCCCTGGCGCGGTGATGATGCCAGGCTTCTCGGACGACGCTGATCGGCAAGCTCGTCAGGCGGCCTTAGCAAAGGTTCTCAACGACAAGCGATTTGGCAACGCCCCACAAAAAGTTGGACCGAGTCGGAGAGCGGCGACGACGACGACGAGGGAGGGGGAACCCCGACGTCAAGTGGCAGCAGCAATGTGTCTTAGCGGTTAGACCATTGGCCACGCGTCCTCGAGAGGACGGAGCATTGTTCCCACAGGACCGATCACCGATGGCCAATCGTTCCTTACGAAGATGAAACGCTGGAAACGGAGGGTCTACAGGGGTTCAAGGAGAACAAGCTAATTCGCTTCGTGAACTCGGCAACCAGGTTACGGTTTTTGTTTTTTTCCTTTGTTTTTGTTTTTGGCGGTAACCATAATGGTGGTCGAGTAGATCATGTTGTGCGGGGTCGAGAACCCTCACTCCGCGCAAGGGGGATGATCGCACCACGTTGTGTTAAAATGGTCAAGCACCCTCGAGGCAGTTGCACAGTGCTTACAACTGTCTCTGGAAGTGAAAGCACCAGAAAATAAATTAATTCATACGCAGCTGTCATCCGTACGCAAGGAAGTAAGCACAAGATGCCGAACACCCTTAGCAGGATGCAGCGCACCCTTCATGCGACTCGCCGAATATCTCACGGCGCTTCGCGCTTGGTGATGTGAGAACCTGGTTCGCTGAGAACCCGGCGTGCTCCGTCCCGGCTTTGTAGGGATGCGAGGTCAATGGTCTAACGACTACGGCATGCACGACTATGAG